TGAAGGGAGGGCTAGGAATGGGGAAAAAATAAGAACCAAAATGCATTATGTATTGTGTTGTATACCTAAAATGTACCATAAAGGAGAAACAAAGAAGAAGAAGAAGAAGAAGAAGAAGAAGAAGAAGAAGAAGAAGAAGAAGAAGAAGAAGAAGAAGAAGAAGAAGAAGGCAAATCAGACATTGTGGCCCATGCCTATAATCCCAGAATTTGAGAAACAGAATCAGGAGGATCTGAAATTTGAGGCCAGCCTGGGCTAAATGGCAAGATCAAGCTAGCCTGGACCACAGAGTGAGACCCTATTTTTTAAAGAAAAAGAAAGAGGCATTTGTATGTGTATCTATAGGGGAAACAGTTTATATAGGGTTTCATAATATCCGTGATTTTAGGCATTCACTGGGGGTCTTGGAATGTACCCCCAAGGGATAAGAGCAGACAGCTATATTCTATTCCTTCATTAAACAAATAATAATGAGTGCCAAATAAGTAGCAGATGTGTATTGGTGTGGAGAATACAGCTATGAACAAGACACACAGGGCTTCTGCCCTCATGGAGCTAATAAGCTAGACAAGAAGTGAACGGTTAAACAAATGATCACAATAAAGGGTAATGAAAGTTATGACCTGTCTGGTAGCATTATGGCAAAAAGCAGAGATAGCCAACCTATTCCAGTGGGTCAGAAAAGGCCTAGAATAAACAACCTGTTTGGAAGATAAGCAGAGACAGGCAGGTAACAAGTGGAATTAAAGAGTATTCTGATCAGAGAGAGAACAGTACATGCAAAAGCCTCTGGGGCAAGAGATTTGGGTCAAGAAGTTCCACACAGGTGGAGGGTAGAGTATAAAGGGGGAGATGGGGGAGACAGAGAGGAACAAGAAGGCAAGAACCAGACCTGGGAGGACTTTGTAAGAGGAGTTAAAGAGTTTGAACTGTACCGCTGAGAATGATAGGAAACCCTGAGTTGGGGGAGGGAGAGGGTAGAGAGGGAGCTCTGACATGAGCACACTTACAATATTTCTGGAAGTAGGAGAGACTAAAAGCAAGAAGAAACATGAAGGTATATTTAGAGGTAAAATTGGTAGGTTTTTGTGACCAGATTTGGGGGTTGTAGAGAATCAAATATGTCACCTTAAGGCATGATGCTTTGGTACATTAATTATTTTTGGTTAAAGACACCGAAAAACAGCAAAAAGGATATCCTGACTTTTTTTTTTTTTTTTTTGAGATGCTAAGGAGAAAACCCAGGGCCTCCTACGTTAGCCAAGTCCTCTACCACTGAGGAATATACCCCCAGGCCCTGACCTTTCTTTTCCCCAAAAACTAGAAGATAAAACTCCCACATAAAAGGTACCCTCCTATTCCAGAACACAGACATTCACCAAAGATGAGACTCAAGACTGAGAGAAATCCGTGCAAACCTTGTGAAATGAACGCTTGTCTTCCTGGTCACTTTTCTACAATTAACTGCCCTAGTTTACTTCTTTTGTCTTCATATTTTCACAATTTACTATTCTTCGGAGAACCTCATATATAAACGTTGGTGTCTTTGTGTCTTTGGGTCTTTATTTTTCTTGTGAAGGCTTCCATGTACATGCAAAAATTGGTAAATAGGGCCGGGGATTTAGGTCAGTGGTGCTGCCACCTGCCTCGAAAGTACAAGGTCCTCAGTTTGATCCCTGGTACCAAAAAAAAAAACCAAACTGGTAAATAAAATTTGTAGATTTTTCTTCCAGGAATCCGTCTTATGTCAGTTTAATTCTTCAAGTCCAGTCAAAAACCCTAAGAGGGTAGGGGAACCCTACAGGGTTATCTTTTTCTTAAAAGAGTGGTTTCTGGTTTAGGCAATGGAAAAGTCTTAAACTGGAACAGGACATATTTCAAGCATGGGGTTCCACTGTGAACAGAGTGAACAAATGCCTTTGAGGTAACCCAGATAAAGATGGCTCATTTTTTTGTTTGTTTGTTTTTGTTTTTCAATATTGGAGATTGAACCCAGAGCCTCTCCACTGAGCTATTTCCCCAGCCCTTTTTATTTTTTGAGTCCGGATCTCCCTATGTTTTAAATTGCTCAGGCTGGCCTCCAAGACACATCCCTCCTGTCTCAATCTCCCAGAGTGCTGGGATTACAGATGTGCATCACTTCATCTGGTTTATTGAACAAATTTATATTCAAAATTTCTATCTCTAAGCCAAGTGTGGTTGTCTATTGAGTCTTTGGGATTTGCCTAGGGCATCTGAGGAACTTCATTTTCAATTTCATTTGATTTTTTACTAATTAAACTCTAAATGGCTAGTGGCTACTCTATAGGTCAGCGTACAAGTCTATTCCAATACTAATTCATCCAGCATAATTCTACTAATAGAACAGAGTACATGGCAATCAAAAACCACTTTAGCACTTGCACTTCATGAGGTGACCACTCCATAAGCAGTGTCTAAGGGAGTGACCTACTCTAACTTCATCAGTGTACAATGTGAGAACCAGATATTTTCAGACAATGAGTCTCACACTTACCTTAAAGAATTCCTGAATAGAAAATTAACATTCAAAAACTGTTTTCCTCATCTGTTGAAAATCACAATTTTAGTAATTCCATGGTTCACTATTTTGGGGTTAGGGGTAGCAAAATGGAAATTTGACAGAGCCTAGTAGTAGTATAAGAGACCCGGCCACATCTACTAATGCACCTAATTTTCTCAATCATTTCAGAATACGCAAAAAGAAGCTCAGAGAGGTTGAAATTTACTAACAATCTAAAACTGGTTAGAGCCAGAGATTAAAAATTCAAAACCAGGCCACTGGATATCCAACACTGCATTCTTTCCAATACATCAGATGACTTCTTCTATCAAGAATAAGTTTCTAGCTGGGCGTGATGGCACTATCATATAATTCTACCCCAAAGTTCCAGTTTAAATCTTTTTTCCTTGCTTATTTTAAGCCTGATTAATTTCTCCCTCCTCTGAATTTTTACATCACTTGTAATGTGCTGGTCAAGATGAGATCAGTCTGGTAAAAAGAGTTAAGACGTTAACTGGAAATAGTTACTTAAGTGACCAAATGATGGAAAGTCTCAAAGGCAGTTAAAATTTTTGATTTTTTTTTTTCAAAGAGGTCTCCCCCTCCCACATTTGGATCCAGGGCCTTCTCACTAAGCTGCATCTTTTTCTCTCTTTCTTTCTTTTCTTTCTCTTTTTCTTATTTTTCTGAGTTTAAATTTGCCATCCTCCTACCTCAGCCTCCGGTAGTGCCACCATGCTGCTCAGAAACTTACTCTTTTTTTTTGAGGGGTCTTATTATGTAATTCAGGCTGGTCTTGAATTTATCATGTAGCCCAGGCTGGCGTTGAACTCGCAGCGACCCTCCTGCCTCAGGCTCCTGAGAGTAGCACCATCACACCCAGCTAGAAACTTTTTTTTTTCTTTTTGGTACCAGGGATCGAAGTCGGGACCTTGAGCTTTCGAGGCAGGTGGCGGAACCACTAAGCTAAATCCCCGGCCCTAGAAACTTATTCTTGATAGGAGAAGCCATCTGATGTATTGGAAAGAATGTAGTGTTGGATATCCAGTGGCCTAGTTTTTAATTTTTTAATCTCTGGCGCTAACTAGTTATCAGTTGTATTGCTTTTCCCCTTAAACCAAAGTCTCTTTGAGGACGCGGCATCCTATATGTTTGCGGGGAGGCAATCCTCCCAAATTTACCCGATTGTCCACGAAGCTATACTTTTGGAATGGATGAATAATCTATACTCAAAAGAGAAACACTTCTTGCTTAATTAAAATCAGCCTCAACTGTAGTGTTTTCCTTTTACATCAAACAACGGTGCACCAATTAATCCAGAATGGTGGTGCAACAAATACATAGAGCAGCTCCACCACGTAATGCTGCCCGCCCACTCCTGCACGCCACGCCCAGCCTGTTGGCTGCCGATTGGGCGTGGCCCAGTTTCGCAGGCCCGGCTATTGGGGTGGTTTGCGTAGGTGAAGGCGTGGCTGAGAAGAACCTACGAGTAGAGCGAAACTAGGTAATTTCCGGTAACTCTCGACAATTTCCGGCAACTGTCTTGTCCTCTGCCGACTCATCTCGCGTATTTCCGGTCTCTTTCGGTATTTTCCGTCAGACTCCCGCTTGGATCTCCATATTTCGGATATTTCCGTATCCCTCTCGGAGGTACTCGGCAAGCGTTCGGCCTCCCCCTTCCCCCGGTAACGGTCGCTGGTGAGTTTAAATGAGCCGGGGCTGGCGGGGCCGGAGCCGCTACGCGGGGGTGCCTGAGGCACTGCAGAAAGTGGGCCTGACCCTGAAGGATGACGGTGCTGCAGGAACCCGTCCAGGTAATGATAACCCCCTTCTCTGAGGCTTGGCTCTCAGCTGTTCGGGAAGCAGCGTTTGGCCACTTCGCGGCCTGGTGCGGCCTAGGCCCGGCTCCTTCTCCCGCTTCCCCTTCCGCCGATCCTGCCTGCCTTTCGTCAGCCCCGAGGCCTTGCCTGCAACCTAAACCGCCTTACCTCTGTCCTACGTTACTCCTGCCCTCGATGTGAATGGGGCGGGCGGTATTACCCCATTTTCGGTCGGAGCCCTCGTCCAGCCACCCCCTCCTGTTAGTCTTAAGGCCTTCCTGGCAGAATGCGAGAGATGAGGGCCCGGAAGGGCACCCAGGAGCCCTGTTACCTAAAGGATGGTTGAGAAACACCTTTAAATAGAGCTGGTACGATCTGCATAGAGGTGGGACAAGTTTGCGGCAGTGGGATTTTTGCTGTTGTTTTTTGTTTTATGTGAGAGGATGGAGGGAGGTAGGATCGGTATTTTTAATCTAATTTCTAGCTTGGTAACAGACTTCTTAGCCCACTTTACTCAGTGGATTTCCGGCTGGACAGTGATGATCGGAGAAGAAAACTCCAAGGCAAGCACCTAAAAAAGGCAAAGGAGTGGAAAGGACAAATCTGTTTTTTTCCATTACCTGTGATGGGGATCAGAAGCATTTTATTGTGCATGTTTATAAGGTGTTTAGGAAACGAAAGACGTTGGTTTTTCCATCCATTTCACTGTCCTTACCAAGATATACTTTGACACACAGTGCTCTGTTGTCAGGGAACAAATCCTGTTGGATTTTAAGTGCGTGGTGCAGTGCCAAGTCATTTTCCCCCCTGCCATTTGAAGAAACTAAATCTTTTGTCCCATGGTGATGGATCAGGTATAAGAGACTTGCCTCCCATCATATGATTTTTGACTTGATCAGGAGAGTTGACCTCTGTCAACTGCTTTCATTGAGTCATGGACTTCAATTTGAAGTTAAACAGCTAATGAATTTTAAAAATTCCTTCATATTGCTTTTGATAAACCTGTAATATCAAATAGTAAATATTTTAATACATCATTATTTCCTTAAGTTTTCTTCACAATATGAAATATTCATTTCTGCTAGTTGGGCTCATTTCCAGCTTTTTACGTATAATAGATATTAGTGTTAATTCCTAAGGGAAATTTACATGCTTGTAAATTCTGTTTTTTCTTCCAAAGCTGTTTCTTGCTGTTCAAATTTCTCTTCCTGGCCACAGGACCCTTTTAAAGGTTTTGTTTGTTTGAGACTTACCATGAAATTAAATAAGCAGACTATTTGAGTTGTTTAATTTATGTTTCACGTACTTGTAATTTTGTCTTAATGATTCTTTTGCCTTTCTGGACCCAAAAGGCTTCGAAAGTATCAAAGTACAGTAGTAGCACTGATAGCATGTAATGACTAATAGTTATTTCAACTTGCATGGGAAAAAATAGAAATATGTAGTCTCCTCTAGATAATACCCATCAGGTACCCTGCTTTTTAATTAAACTAGTCTTATCTTTAATACACTTGGATAATTTTAAGGCTTAAAAGTCAGATTTGTCCTTTTTCTCTCCCATACTAGCTTTATCCAGTAGATTTTGGGATATAGTAAGAAGTTTTAGGCTATGACTATGTGAAAATGTTGGTTGTAATTTATATAGTAAAAGGTAGCAGATTATGAAGGGATCCAGAACAGTGGAGGAACAAGCAACTTTGACTGCAGTTACAAAGGTAAATTGATCAGGGATAATGTTGAAAATGGGAAAAAATTAGTAAGAAAGAGAATAAAAATAGAAATAAATAAGATAGTCTTAAAAATGATTGAGTCTGGGTATTTGAAAAGGAATGAGGCTAATTTGGAAAATTTGTTACCTTTTTTGGAATGTCTGAGGGTTCAAGATATTACCAGGCAGAGGAAAAAGTTGAAAGAAAAATGAGCAACTGTTTCTGTTTCCTGTTCTTTTTTCTTTAGAGTATTAACATGAACTAGTGCCATATATACCTATATAAGTATTTTCCTGAAGTATCTCTCATAGAAAAATATTACTTTATATTTGAGTCTTTTTAAAAAGTCTCGTATTATGAGACAAAAGTTCTGTCATTTATTTATTTTATGGTACCAGGGTCTTCACACTGAGGTATACCCCCAGCCCTTTTTTAAATTTTTATTTCAAGACGAGGTCTTGTAAAATTGCCCAGGCTGAGCTCACACGGAAATCCTCCTGCATCAGACTTATCGAATGCTGGGATTACAGGCATGGGCAGCTAGTTATTTTGCTTTTAATGGTAACTGGAGAAGTTAAAATAGCCCAAATAACTTCAATTAGTGCTAATTTGGATGTTTATAAAAGTCACCTGACAACATTGGTTTTTTAAAGAGGCAGGCTTTTGTATAGATTTATATCTATATATATTCCCAGTTATTGTGGGGGACTTCACAGAAGTGCTTGAAGTTGTAAGCAAGCCTTTTTAAAAAGGCAATAAGCAATTTAGTAATTGGCTATATATTCAATATTGTTTTAGATCGCATTAGATAATGAAGTACTTTTGACTTGGAAAAATATGTCCACAGATTCTATCTAACATTAATACAAAGAGTACCATATTTTGGCTACTGTATGGGAAATGTAACAAAAGGGGCAAGAGTGAATATAGTTGCCTTGGAGATGTAGGTAATTTAAAGTAAGGTAAAAGAGTAGGAAAAAAGTGGATAATTTTGAGACCAAAATTTTAAGAAATATTTGGGAGATAGAACCAGTAAGATAAGAAAATGGATTTGATGGTGGAGTATCAAAAATGATTGCCTGCCTGGGCACTGTGGCACTTGCCTATAATCCCAATACTTGGGAGGCTGAGGTAGGAGTATCCTTGAGTTCAAGGCCAGCCTGAGATACATAGCCCCTGTCTCAGAAACAAAAAAGACTGCCTGAATTTCATTTTGGTGGTGTGATTTAAGAAATGGAGAATTCTGTGAGTGGGGGCAGATTTGAAGGAAAGCAATTAAGAATTGTTTTAAACGGGCTGGGGATTTAGCTCAGTGGTTCCACCGCCTGCCTCAAAAGCACAAGGACCTGAGTTCAATCCCCGGTACCAAAAAAAGACCAAAACAAACAAAAAGAATTGTTTTAAACAAATTAAGTTGGAGATATTTCTACTAAATAGTAATATAGAGATAGAACTCCTAATCTTGTGCCAGTTTTAGTCTTACTAGAAAGGTAAGCATGCTTGTAATGGATATTACAAGTCAATATAAATTTGCCCAGATAATGAGTTCAGGAAAGAGAATCCTCCAGGCGAGAAAAATGGAAAAGGCGTCCTGAAGGAGAACTTTAAGCCTAGGAGTTCAAATTGATAGAGTAAAAATGTTCTAGGCATGAAAAGATGTGAACAAAAGTCCAAAGATGAGAATGTTGTTTCAGAAGGAGAGAACACTACAATATTTGTAAACTTGGGTAGACTGGAAGTTGAGAATGGGAAGAGGAAGGTTTTACAATCAGGTACAGTCAGGTTACAGGGTACTTAACATCCAGGCGGAGTTTAGATTTAATGTAGTGATAATGAGTAGCCATTATATGAACAAAAGAGTTTTTGGGCAGAAAAATTATGTAATGAAAACAGTGCTTTGGGAATATTAATCTGGCGCTACTTGCAAAGAAGAGAAAAAACAAGAGTTAGGTAAATAAACTAGTAGAAATAAAGACTGCTAGTAGAATAACCCAGGTATGTGGTATTGCAGATTAGGATTCTTTTTTAATTTTGGCACTCTTGACATTTTGGGTAAACTAATACTTTTTTGGGGTGGGGGATGTACATTGTAGTGTGATGCTATACCTTTGGCTTTTACCCATTGGATGCCCCCTTCACTCTTTTTTTGGTTTGTTTGAGACGGTATCCCCATGTAGTTCAGGCTGGCCTTGAACTCTGTATGTAGCCCAGGCTGGCCTCAAAGTTGTGATCCTTCTTCCTCAGCCTCCTCAGTGCTGGGTCTTCATTTTTGACAACCAAAAATGCCTCCCTGAAATTGCTAAATGGGGGCGGGGGGTGTGCCAAAAATTGCCCATATTGAGAACCAGTGCCAAAGACCTAAATGAAATTAGAATTCTAGAAATTAGAATTCCAGAAATTAGAATAATCTAATTATATAATGTATAATATGAAAATTCCACAGTGGTGTGTTTTGTGGGGTTTGGCTGGTTTTCCTTGTACCTTCTTATATTGTCAAATTTCTATTATCTATTGCTTTTATGATCTTAAAAAAAGGCAGCTTTTGGCGGGGGGGGGCAAAAACAAAATTTACAGTAGTCACTTTTAAGTCAGAGTACAACTTACAGGTTTGTTTACATTTAAAATAATACTTCATATTTAAAAATAGCAAGTAAGAAATTTTGCAACTTCATACTGATTGTTTATCTTTTAAATTAATGCATCCAGTGACTAAGACATCAGTGGAATATTTTTCTTTAAACATTTTGTTGGGGGGAGACAAAAGGAGTGTTACTCTTGGTTTGGTAACTTTTAACAACATTTTATCCATCTGGCTTTAATTTGTAGAACTCTAGAGATGATGCACTGAGTATTATACTTTTTTTCAGTAATTGTACAGGGGATCAAAGCCAGGGCTTCTCACATGTGAGGCAAGTAGTCTACCATTGAGCCATACCCCTGGACCTTTTAAAAATTGTTTATTTTGAGGCAGGGTCTCACTAAATTATCCAGGCTAGATTCGAACTTGCAGTTCTCCTGCCTCAGTCTCCTGAATAGATGAAATTAAAGGCATATAGCAATATGCCCAGGTTGAATGCTATTCTTTTAGGGAGAGATCCACACCATCAGTTAGGCACAGGTAGATGAATAGCCAGGGAAGTAATTTTAGCTCTGCTCATCGTCAGCCAATAATTGGTAGTGCTTTAGAAAATAATTCATTGGCCACCCGACACCCCACAGAAGACACCATCCCTCAGGAATTTAGAAGTAACTGAGCAGAGCAGGGATGGAGGCTATATGTGCAGTTCTCTGAATGGCAGGTTTAACTTCTGGGATTTATAAAAGTTTGAGTTGGCCAACTTCCCTATCTCTGATGTTCTCAAGAATTGGTTAAAAAAAAAAAAAGAATGAGGTTGTTTTGAGCAACGCTTGATTTTTATATCACAAGGCTTTTGAATGTGATACTTTTTTCTTTCATTTCTTTAAAAAGACAAAATATAAAGGAAATCAACATTCTAAGACTTTATGGCCTTAGTAGATATATGTTAAATTTTCCTGGTGATCCATAGTAGTACTAAGGTGGCCAGTGAGTCCCTTGGGTCATTTATGGCTCATATGTTACAGAATAACCGGTTGTAGCAGATATGCTAGGGAAA